GATGCCAGATCAGGGCCAATTACATTGCATATCCGTCTCTGGATCGTATCAAGAACCTTGAGACAAACAGAAGGGGCTCCAGACCATATATGGCAGCAATACTCCATGCAAGGGCGAATGGTTGATTTGTAGATTTGAAGGATCGACTCCGACGAGAAAAATTTCCTGGAGAGGTACAGGGAGCCGACCATTTTCCAGCATCCTTAGCAATGGATCGTATGCTAGAAAGAGCGATAACAGCTATGTGAACTTGAGAAATCTATTTTCTGAAGGAAATTATTTTCAGAGAAAGATTTCATATATTTCAACAGATAGTAGCACTGGCTGCTCGGTCAATGAATGCTGAACTTTTCCTCATAAGGAAACGGTTAATATTATCAAAATAGATTTGTTCAAAACAATAAAATGCAGTCGACCTAGAAACAAAATTCTGAATTTCTCTCTCTCTCTTTTATATATATATATATATATATATATATATATATATATACATTTTAAGACATTTTATGTTTATACATTCTTTTTTATAGATACAAATATTTAAGTAAATGCTGTTTATAATAAACAGTATTAAACAACATTTACCGACCTGAATGTCCGAGAAATTGTCATAGAAACTATGCGTCCTCCGACAGGAATCGAACCTGTATCCTGTATACGGAACCGTAATATAGCCTGACGTGCTTTTACCGATTTCGCCACAGAGGAGCGTTCGGTTAGCAAGGTCGATTTTACTGTTTTTAAACTACAGTCTTCCATGAATCTCTTACGTACATTCATATGTGCTCGATGCGTATTCAAATGTAAACAAATGACGTCACACATTAAGTCCGACAATTACTTTAAGACATTTTTATGTTTATACATTATTTTTTATTGATACAAATATTTAAATAAATGCTCTGTTTATAATAAACACTATTAAACAACAATTACCAGCCTGAAAGTCCGAAAAAATATTATAAACAGAGCATTTACTTAAATATTTGTATCTAATGTATAGGATACATTTGGATATATATATATATATATATATATATATATATATATATATATATATATATATATATATATATATGTGTGTGTGTGTGTGTGTGTGCGTGATAAAAAAAATTTTTTTAATATTTTATAGTATATAATTTGATATGAGGAAATAGAGAGAAAGAATGAATGTTTGTGAGAGAAAGACTGGGAAGAAGAGGAGACGGAGAAAAGAAAGAGATGAGGGGAGAAAGGAGGGAGGGTCAGTGAGAAAGAAATAAAGGAGGACGAGTGAAATGAAGAAGAGAGAGCGAGAGAGAAAGAGTGAAATTTGATGAGAAGGAGGAGGCAAGACAAACAAGATATAGTAAAGAAATCGGATAAAATGTGAAGAATGAGAAAGAAAGCGAGAGAGATGAAGCTATGGAAGAAAGAAGAGGGTGAAGAGAAAGAGGCAAATATAGTGAGGAAAGCGAAGAAATGAAAAGTAAGAGAAAGAGATAGAGAAAAGGAAAAGGAGGAAAAAAGGAGATATATTAAAGAGCAGAAAGTAAAACATGAGGGAAATAAAGCGGATGGGAGGGATCAAGGAGGAAATTGAAAGAGAAATCTGTCCAAGGAAATCTTTTTATTTAATGAAATGGAGAGCATAAAAAGTATGAAACAGAAAGAGAGAGAGAGAGAAAGGGAGAAGGAGAAATAAAAGAGGAGAGATTATTGAGGAAGAGATTTTATTTGAAATTATATATGAGGATAAATAAAAAATGAGAATAATGAGAGAGAGATACTGAGAGAAACTGAGCGTAAAAGATAGAATAAAAAAATGATACAAAAGAAACGCCATATAGTAAATAAAATAGTTAAAAAATAAATTTATGAGCCAAGAAAGAGAGAAGAGAGAAGAAATAGTTTGGGGAGATAAATTAAATTTGTTTGTGTGATTTAGAAAGAAGAGATACATAAAATAAAATTTAAAAAGGGAAGTTTTTAAAAAAAAAGGAATGGGTTGGAGTTCAAAAAAAAGAAACGGGCAAGATGGTGGGAGGAAAACGGAAAAATTTAGAAGAATGAGGGGAGGAAGAGGAGGAAAGATGTAATTTTTGAGAGAAAGGGGAACTTATACGCAACTGATAGTGAGGGTAATGAGAGAAAGAATGCGTTACAGAGAGGGGCAGAGAGAAGGCGGAGGAGAGAGGAGAAAATGGAAAGAGATGAGGATATATAGAAAGGAGGGAGAAGCATGTCAGTGAGAAATCGAGAAAGAAAGAAAGAAAGAAAGAAAGAAAGAAAGAAAGAAAGAAAGAATGAAAGAAAGGAAAGGGAGAAAGTTGAGGTGGAAGAGAAAGCAGTGGGGGAAAAATAAGAGGCAAGATAACGTGAGAAGATTCAAGAAGACTTTAACGAAGCAATTATTTGGTACCAAAATGGCGTGTTTATGCTGATTCCGGCATCTGGAAGACGTCAGCAGACGACGATCGTCGCAGAAATAAAATTCCTTGCCTGTCAATGTGAATATTATTTATCCATAACTGGCCAATATGGCTACCGACAGAAACTAAAGACGAGTTGCTACCCATAAAGGCATGTTGTGCCTGGCAAGCAAAGAATAAAGGAATTGTATAAGAGGAAAGAAACAGAAAGAAGAGAAAGCGTTTATTTAGGTGCCATTAAAAAAAAAAATTGAAAGGAGATCTTAAGTTCGAAATGGCCTCTGACTGTACAAGTGATTGTTCGTAAAAAGATTTTTGAAATTTAGGATGCAGAAACAAATTTACTTGAAAAAAAAAAAGCACAGGGCAAAGGCCTATGGCAGGGGAAACACATGGTAGAGGACATATGCTAGGGGTAGTGCGTGTTATTGAAGGTTAATAATTTAAAAAACAAGAACGGTTTTGATAACGAGGTTCATTAGCTACAAAAAAGAAAGAAGTGTAAGAATTTTTTTAAATTAAAAAAAAAAATTACTAAGAAAATAAAAAGATAACTAAGGGAAGAAAAACGAACATGAAAAAAATGAAGAAAAGACAGAAATAGAAAGAAAACGAGGAGGAGAAAATAAAAGATGAATGTTTTATTGGATGTAACAGATAAATTTTATGCGAGGAAGAAAGCAGACGATAAATAAGACAGCGAAAATGGAAGCAGAAAAAAATAAGAATCTTGAAGGATAAAAATTGGAAGAAGATGAAAGAGAAAATAAATTTCTTTCTTTTCTCGATCTACTTCTAAAAGAGTAAAGAGTTAAAAACAGTGAAATCTAAAAGGAGACGAATGAAAGTTCTTTTCTGTAAAAGAAGGAAGAAACAAAGAAATTAGAATGAAAAGAAGTCATGGAGGAACGATGAAGACAAAAAGAAATAAAGAAGAATTAAAACGAAGAAGGGAGGGAAAAAAGAAAAGGTAGTAAAGAAAGAAAAAGAATATAGATGAAGGAGAGGAACAAAAGAGAAAATGAGGGAGCGAAGAAGAAGGAAATTTCAAAAAGAGGGAGAAGAGAAAATAAAGAATAAAAGAATCATACTTATTATAAAACCCAGGTTGTGTGTGTGTGTGTCTGTACGTTTATATATTGGATCGGATTTCCTACATTTTTCAACCGATTTTAACAAAACTTCACAGGACTATGTAAAATTACCTTTCGGTGCTTCTGACAGTGCCCAAAATTGGAAAAGCAATTGTTTTTGCACAAAATCAATTTGAAAACACGATTAAGAGTCATCGCTAGAATGAAAGGGGGACAACTCATATCGAGTTATACTTATTATAAAAAAACCCAGTTTGTTTGTGTTGTGTGTGTGTGTGTGTGTGTGTGTGTGTGTGTGTGTGTGTGTGTGTTGTGTTTATATATGGGATCAGATTTCCTACATTTTTCAACCGATTTCAACAAAACTTCACTTTTTTTTTTGGCAGGTAGTGTTTCTTATTGTCTTGCACACTTTTTTCTTTTTATTTTTACATTCAGAATGCTTTAAAAATTCCATTTACAAGACAATTGTTTTTAATAAAATTCTATTCAATCGATAGACTCATAACGATTGAAAACAATGTTTTTGTTTGAGTTTGGGTTTGACCAATTGTAAAAAAAAAAAAAAAAAACTAATTAAGACATGCGTGTCCGTCAACCTTAAACAATAATCTTTTGTCAATTTTATTTTTCAGTCTTTATGATGGTCGATACTTGATCTATCTCTTACTGTTACATCCCCGGGAAACGCCGGGCTCTACTGCTAGTTATGAATAAAATAGAGGATGAGAAAAACGAAGAAATGATTGACGAAGAAAAAGAAGAAAGGATAAAGCTAAAGGTAGAAAAAGAAGATGAAAGATAATGAGGAAGAAGAAAAAAGAAAAATAGGTGAAGAAAAAATTGGAATATAAAATTCTTTAAAGGAAGGAAAAAGGATTCAAAAAAAAAAAGAAAAGGAAAAAGAGGATGGAAAATAGAGAACGAGAAGTGTGATGTAGGTGAGAAGAAAGAAAAGGAGATGAATAAATAATATGTAGTGAAGGAAAGAAATAGAACGTGAAAGATAACGAGAAAGGAACAAAATGAATATAATGTATGGAAAAAAAAAAGAAAGAAAGAAGACGAAGAGATGGTAGGAGAATGAAAGAATAAGAACATGGAAGGAAGAAAAAGAAAACGAGGAATTGATAAGAAGCAGAGAAAAGACGAAAAAGTCTAGAGAAGGAAAGAAAAGAAAAGAAAGGTAAAGAATTTTCAGAAAAAAAAAAAAGAATTTGAGAAAGATAGTGAAGGAGAAAGGCGAAAAAGAAACGAAGAAAAAAATGAAAGGGAGACAATTCATGACATTAACGCCGAGCCCGGTCAGTACTCAGATGGGAGACCGCTTAGAAACACCCTTCTAAAATCCGAAATATGTTTCCGCTTTAAATAACTCACAAAGGGTTGATAAACCGTAAAAGAAAACAAATCAGTTAATCAAGCTGTTCAAGCCAGTAACCTCCTTAAGAAAGCCATTCATCATTATCAACGAAATTTCAGGATTTTCTTGCTGATGCATAGGTTGGTTTTGTAAGTATGGAGGAGACACGGTAGTATAATGAATAGCGGCTCTGATTAAGAGATCGGAGAGCCGAGTTCGAATTCCGGTCGAATCCATTACATTCACTTATGTGCTAATACATGCTAATACCCTTGGGAAAGGTTTGAATGCTATGGGTAAATAGCAGGACAGTGTTGGGTTCTATATCCTTGGATGACAACCGCAGAAAGAAATGGCAAACTACTGCGGGAAAAAAAACCTAGTTTGTCAGTCATGTATCGAAAGATATATGATCGCCTAAGCGTGTACTGCCTTCATTTGGCTTCTTGTAACTTTTACTCAGACACACTCACAAGTGCCGTTGACTGAGGAGCCACAGTTCTCAACAATACTTGGCGATGTGGTTGTAGTTTTCGTAGCAAGTTGATTTTTATGGGATGAAGTTGAGAGCCACATGTTCAACCAGTTGTCATTTGAAACAGAGAGAAATACTAATTTTAAGCAAAATTGTCACAGTATATAGAAAAAAAAAGGGAGATGTATGATTGTAGATGAATATGGGTTAATCATATGTTATATATAAGTTTTCATGGCGCGTTAATAATGAATATTTCAAGGCTGGTTTACCTTTTTTCTCTCCCTTTTTTGATCCAATGATGCTAATTGAATAAAAAGAACAATATACTTAAAGGTTATCAAAACGTTTCTTTCTTTTCTCAATCTACTTCTTTTTGACTCTTCTTTTCGTCTTTCTTTTCAAATTATTTACTTTTTCTTAGCACTTTTTTTCACTTTCAACCTATTTCTTTCTTTTTTTCTTTCTTTCTTTCTTTCTTTGCCTATTCCCTTCTGTTAAATAATATCATTTCTTTTTTTCTCCTCATTTTTTTTCTTTTGGATCGAACTTCTTTAAAACCTTTATTTTCTTTTTTTCATTTTTTTTTCTTTCTTTCAAATTTTCTTTCTTTCTTTTTTTTCTTTTTTGAGTGCCTATCCCTTCTTCAAAATTTCTTTCTTTCTTTAACACTCTAGAGATTTCTTTTCGCTCCACTTTTCAACCTTTTTTCTTATTTAACGCAATTTCTTTTGTTTTACTGAATTTACTTCTTTTGCAAATTACTTTATTTTTTCCTATTCTCCTTTTTTTTTTTGCTTCCCTATTTCTCATTTACAATTCTTTCTTTCTTTCACAGATTTTCTTCGACATTAGTTTTGGATATTCTTTCTTTGGCTTTGTTACTTCATTCATGTTTGCACTTTCTATTACCATTCTTTCGTTCTTTTCTTTCCTTTGCTTTTCTCTTTTTTTACCATATCCAGAATTTATCTAGTATATCCACTTTCTTTTTTTTATTTTTTTTTTTTTTTTTTTTTTTTTTTTTTTTTTTTTTTTTTTTTTCTTTCTTTGTGAAATTCTTTGTTTTCTTTCTTTCTTTTCACCATTCATTCTTCCTTTGTTCTTTTTTCTTTTAAGATTCTTTCGTTTTTTCTTTCATTTGCTTTTCTCTTTTTTATCGTTTCTACATTCTTTCTTTCTTTCTTTCTTTCTTTCTTTCTTTCCTTCTTTCTTTCTTTCTTTCTTTCCGTGATTTTTCTGCCTTTTCACTGTTAGCTTTTTTGTGATTTTCTCAATTGCTTTCATCTTTTTTTTCTTTCTTTCTTTCTTTATTTCTTTTCATTTTATAAATATATCCTTCTGTACAAATCTTTCTTTCTTTCTTTCTTTCCGTGATTTTTCTGCCTTTTCACTGTTAGCTTTCTTTGTGATTTTCTCAATTGCTTTCATCTTTCTTTCTTTCTTTCTTTCTTTCTTTCTTTCTTTGAGTGCCTATCCCTTCTGTACAAATCTTTCTTTCTTTCTTTCTTTCCGTGATTTTTCTGCCTTTTCACTGTTAGCTTTCTTTGTGATTAAACCGAAATTGCTTTCATCTTTTCTTTCTTTCTTTCTTTCTTTTTTCTTTCTTTGAGTGCCTATCCCTTCTGTACAGGAATTTCTTTTTTTCTTTCTTTCCGTGATACAAAATTGCCTTTTCACTGTTAGCTTTTTTTGATTTTCTCAATTGTTTTCATTTTTGAATATTTCGAAATTTTCTTTCTTTCTTTCTTTCTTTTGAGTGCCTATCCCTCAAAACAAATTTAATTTTTTTTTTTTTTTCTTTCTTTCCGTGATTTTTCTGCCTTTTCACTGTTAGCTTTCTTTGTGATTTTCTCAATTGCTTTCATCTTTTTTTTTTAATTTCTTTTTTCTTTTTTCTTTTAAATTTTCTTTTTTCTTTTTGAGTGCCTATCCAATCTTAAAAACAAATCTTTTTTTCTTTCTTTTATTTTTTTTTAATTTTTTTCTTTTCTTTTTTTCCTTGATTTTTCTGCCTTTTCACTGTTATTATTTCCATTTGTGATTTTCTCAATTGCTTTGTTTTTCAAGAAAAGTTTTCTTTCTTTCTTTTCTTTCTTTTTTTTTTCTTTTTTTTGAGTGCCTATCCCTTCTGTACAAAGATTTTTTTTCTTTCTTTCTTTTCCGTGTTTTTTCTGCCTTTTCACTGTTATTTTTTTGTGATTTTTCAATTGATTTTCATCTTTCTTTTTTTTTTTTCTTTCTTTTTCTTTCTTTCTTTCTTTCTTTTTTTTCTTTCTTTCTTTCTTTGAGTGCAGGATCCTTCTGTACAAATTTGATTTCTTTCTTTCTTTCTTTCCGTGATTTTTCTGCCTTTTCACTGTTTTTTTTCTTTTGATTTTTCTCAATTGCTTTCATCTTTTCTTTTCAACTTTTTTTCTTTCTTTCTTTTTATATTTTCTTTTTTTTCTTTTCTTTTTTCTTTGAGTTTATCCTTCTGTAAATCTTTCTTTCTTATTTTCTTTTTTTCAATAAATTTTTTTTTCCTTTTCACTGTTAGCTTTGTTTTAAGATTTTCAATAAGTTTTCATATTTTCTTTCTTTTCTTTCTTTCTTTCTTTTTTTTTATTTTTCTTTTTTTTTTCTTTGATTACCAAATCCCTTCTGAAAATAAATCTTTCTTTCTTTTTTTTTTTCTTTCTTTCTTTCCGTGATTTTTCTGCCTTTTCACTGTTAGTTCTTTCACGGATTTTGTGATTTTTTCAATTGCCAATCTTTCTTTTCTAAATTTTCTTTCTTTCTAATTTTCTTTTTTCTTTCTTTCTTTCTTTCTTTGAGTGCAACATCCTTCTTTACAAATCTTTCTTAGATTTTTTCTTTTCTTTCTTTCTTTCTTTCCGTGATTTTTCTGCCTTTTCACTGTTAGCTTTCCTGATTTTTTCTCGAAATTGCTTTCATCTTTAAATTTTCTTTCTTTTCTTTTTTTACTTTCTTTCTTTATTTTTCTTTCTTACAGAATTTGAGTGCCTATCCCTTCTGTACAAATTTTTTCTTTTTTTCTTTCTTTTCCGTGATTTTTCTTATTTTTCACTGTTAGCTTTTTTGTGATTTAAAACAATTTTCATCTTTTTTTCTTTCTTTCTTTCTTTTCTTTCTTTTTCTTTCTAGGGCGGATTTCTTTCTTTCTTTCTTTGACTATTTATCCCTTCTGTACAAATCTTTTTTTCTTTCTTTTCTTTCTTTTTTTTTCCGTGATTTTTCTATTTTTTTCACTGTTAGCTTTGAAATGATTTTTTCAATTGCTTTCATTTTTTCTTTCTTTCTTTTTTTTGTTTTCTTTCTTTTCTTTCTTTCCTTTTTTTCTTTCTTTGAGTGCCTATTTTCTGTACAAATTTCTTTTCTTTCTTGAATTTTTCTTTCCGTGATTTGAAATTATTTTCACTGTTCTTTCTTTTTGATTTTCTCAAAACATTTCATGTTAATTTTTATTGTTTTCTTTCTTTTCTTTCTCGGAATTTTTATTTTCTTTCTTTCTTTCTTTCTTTCTTTGAGTTTTTTATATCCTTCTGTACAAATCTTTTATTTTCTACAATTTTTTCAGGAGTTTTCTTTCTTTCCGTGATTTTTTCTGCCTTTTCACTGTTAATTTTTTTTTTTGTGTTTTTCTCAATTCTTTTCATCTTTCTTTTTTTTCTTTCTTTTTTTAATTTTTTTTTCTTTCTTTTTTTTTCTTAATTTCTTTTAAGATTTTTTCGTCTTTTTTTCTTTCATTTCTTCTCGTTCCCACGTTTGAACGTGTTTTCTTTCTTCTGTTCTTTCTTTCTTTCTTTCTTTCTTTCTTTTTCTTTCTTTCTTTCTCCATTTAGATACATTCTTAGACGTATCAATTCTTTCTTCCTCCTTGCTTCTTTCCGTCACAGTATTATATTTATATAATTTTATTTCTCTTGTTTTCCTCCCAATAATTTTTGAACTCTAAAACAAGTGAAAGAATAAAAACAATTCTCCCAATAATTATTTGACCTCAATCGTTAAATCATTTCAGGCGTAACATTAAAACTAAAACAAATATTTGATTTTATTTCTGCTCATAAAACCCGGTCGCCTTTAACAGTTAATTTGCAAAATCTGCTTTCCTGGTTAGGCTGATGTCAATATATTTTCATACCTCTATTCCGTAATAATTGTTACCTTTATTGGATAAAATTTGTATGCAAATGGAAGTACTATTAATGGAACGAGGTAATAATAATTAACGAGCTTTTCCTGTCTGACGATTATTATTATTATTATTATTATTATTATTATTATTATTTTTATTTCCTTTGATTTCTGGCGTGTACACATTTCTTTCCGGGTCCCGCCCAGAGACCCAAGGTTAGAAATGGCATCATGATACATTCCACTGACAAAAAAAAAAACAAAAACAAAAAAAAAACAAAAAACAAACAAACAAAAAAACCAAAAAAAAAAAACCATAAAAAACCCATATTTTACATAGATAAAGCCCTTCGTAAAGTGTGGGCTGCAAAATTGTTCTCACAAGGAGAACAATTTTTTGTATTTCTTTGAGACTTCCGGGAATCCCATTTATTATTATTATTATTATTATTATCATCATCATCATTCGATTTCTGCTATGGACACACTACCTACCAAGTCTGCGGAAAGACCTAAGGCAGGTCGTGGTGTGTTGTTATGGCCACATTTCATGTTAATTTTTTTTTTTTTTTTTTTTTTTTATCTCCGATGAAGTTGCTAGCGTTACATAGACAAAGTTCTCCTTAGTGTGTGTGCTGTACTTAATAAGACAATTTTCTGTATGTCTCTTAAGCTGGGGTTTCAGGGATTCTTTCAATGTGTTGTTTTGTTCCATTTTTTATAATTCCAAGTGCACCTATTACCACTGGTATTATTCTTGTTTTCAATTTCCACATTTTTTTTCTATTTCAATTTCCAGGTCTTTGTATTTTGATAGTTTTTCAAATTCCTTGGTTGCTATGTTACAATCCGCTGGACAAGCCATATCAATTAGTAGGCAAGTTTTTTTCTTTCTGGTTTTTGACAATAATGTCCGGCCTATTTGCTTCAATTTTTCTGTCTGTGTGGATGGTATAATCCCATAGAATGGTGACATCTTCTATTTCTGTAACCGGCGCTGGCCGATGTTCATACCAGTGTTTGCTTACACATTTTCCAAAGTGTTTGCACATTGTCCAGTGTAAGTATTGCCCCACTCTATCGTGACGATTTTTATATTCATTTTGGGGCAAGTATAGAACATCCTGAGATTAGATGGTCTATTGTTTCTTGGTATTTGTCACAGAACCTGCATTTTGGATCCACATTATTATGTATGATATTTGCCTGAAAATTCCTAGTGAAAAGACTCTGGTCTTGCGCTGCAAGAATAAAGCCTTCAGTTTCAGACTTTAATCCAGATGCTCGTAACCATCGATGAGTATTAACTTTATCAACATTGGGTTTATTTGCACGTTCTGGATATTGGCCATGCAGAGGTTTGTCTTGCCAGCGTTGTTTTTTCATCTGTTCAAGGGCTTTATCCTTGGCTTTCTCGTTTGAAATAAGCTTTTTTATTAAAAAATTATTATTATTATTATTTTTATTATTTTTTATTATTCCTTTGATTTTCAATTGTATTATTATTGTTTCCTTTATAAATATTTATTTTGATTTTTTTTCACTTTTTCGTTCCCCCAGTCCAGAGACCTAAGGTTAGAAATGGCATCATGACATTTTCCACTGACACACACACACACACACACACACACGCACACACACACACACACACACACACACACGAGAGAGAGAGAGAGAGAGAGAGAGAGAGAGAGAATATATTTTACATTGATAAATTTTTCGTATGTCATTTGGGATGTATAGTTTGAGAACAATTTTTTGTATTTCTTTAAGGTATGGCCTTCCGGAAATCCCTTCAATTAGTCTGCTGGAATCTTTTCCAAACAAACCTAGGGCTCCAACTACAACAGGGATTGTTGATATTCCCATATGCCACATTTTTGAGATTATTATTATTATTATTATTATTATTATTATTATTATTATTTTCTTAGATTTCTTTTGTAAACTAATTTCCTTCCGAGTCCCAACCAGAGACCTAAGATCAGAAATGGCAACATTACATTTTCAAATGAACATATTTCTAAAATAAAAAAAATAAAGTAAAATAAAGTAAAATAAATAAATAAATCTAAGATCACACACAACTACAACTACATTTGCAATTATTGATGTCATCTTATGCCACATTTTTTGAGGATTTTTACATGAAGATCTTCGTATTTTGATAGCTTTTTGAAGATCTTCAAAGATACGGTACAGTCTGCAGGAAATGCCATGTCAATAAGAAGGCCCATTCTGTTTTTGTGGTCTTTGAAAACGATTTCTGGGCGATTAGATTTGTTTGCTCCGTGTGTATTGTAAAGTCCCATAAAATTGTTATAGATCATCTGACTCTAACCATGTAATGTATCTTCAAAGATACATTACATTACAATCTACAGGAAATGCCATCTCAATAAGAAAGCACATTCCGTCCTTGATCACACTGTCTGGGCGATTAGCTTTGATTGTTCTCTCTGTGTGTATTGTAAAGTCCCATAAAATTGTTAAAGGTCGTATTTTTATAACGGGGTTTGGGTGATGTTCATACCAGTTACTTGCAGTTTCCTTCCCATAAACGTTACATATTTTCCAGAACGGATATTAGCTCACTCTATCATGCCGAGTTTCAGTGGGTGCTAACACTGTGCAACCTGATGTAAGGCTATCAATTATTTCAGAATCTTAATTTGTTTTTTGTTTTTTTTTGGTTTGGTTTGTTTTACGGCATATCAACCTCAATGGGTTATTTAATGCCGAAAATGTTTTTATTGTTGGTAATATTTTTTCCCCAAAAATCTATTTCTGGTAATATTTTTAACTTCAAAAATCTATTTCTGGTAATATTTTTTTCCTTCAAAAATCTATTTCTGGTAAGAATTTTCCTTCGCTGGTAATATTTTTTTTCAAAAAATATATTGCTAGTAATATTTGTTTTTCAAAAATGTATTGCTGATAATAATTTTGTTGACAAACTATTTCTAGTATTAAAACCTATTTTTACACATTCATAGTGTTTTGGCCCCAGTGTGGGTGTTAACTATTTGCCCATAGCTAGGACCCTAACAGGTGCTATCACTCCGGGTCAGGGTAGACATGGGAACATTAGCAATTAAGAGATGGTTCCACACTCCTCAAAACCTCTTGAGCAGAGGACGTAGTTTATCGTCTTACCCAGGACGGAATTTTAATTTGGGGTTAACGCAATTTTTCAGTAGATGTCCTTGATAATTTCTAGCCTTATTCAAGCTTTGTTTTTCTGCAGCAAGAATAAAACTTTCGGTTTCAGCATCTAACTCTGCACCACGTAGACACTGATGTATATGGGATGGGTTAACATTAGTTTGTTTGGTACGGGCAGAGTATTCACCATGAAGAGGTTTATCTTGTCATCGTTTCTGTATTTGGCACATTGCATTTACTTTCTTTTTTTAGGTTCTTTGTCCCTACAGTAAGTGTATTATGGTTTATTTGCATTTCTTCACCCATTTGAAATTCCACTTTGAATTTGTTGGCTTCCTTTATTACTGAATAAAGTTTCTTATTTCTTCAACACATCATCCAGTCTTCTGTAGTTTCCAGGTATCTTTGAAAACCGATTTTTGTGTGTTTGTAAGACAGTTCTAGTTGAACTAATCCTCTGCCTCTTTCGGATCTGGGCACACACAGATAATCAAAATCACCCTTGGAATGATGCATGCGGTGACAAGTGAGATAGATATTTACAGACTTTTTCTAGTTTCTGACAAAATCTAGATCTGTTGAGTGTGTTTCTATAATTCTTCCTTTCTTGAATGTTTCTTTTACACATTCATCGTATCCGAAATTCATGTCATCACTAAAATATTTTTTACAGTATTGAGGATATCATTTAATTCATTGTCGTCCATGTAGAATAGGTGATTAAATATTTTCTTTTTTTTAACTTGTTTCCATGGTTATTACTCTTTAGTTAATCCGAAATGGAAATTAAGAAAAAACAGAACATTATTATTATTATTATTATTGTATGTAATGTTTCCTGCTTTGTATCCTGTAGAGGGGGGGCAATCTTTGCTCCTTAGGCCCTATAGGAGAATTGTCATTTAATTCATAGCATTTTCTTAGTATATGGGATGTTCCTAGTAAAGTGATCTTTAGGGCAACTTGTGAATTCATGTCGGTATTTGACACCAGATGCACACGTCTGTAGTATTCTTTTCTTACTTTCTCTTTCATTTGGGTCTGCTGTATTCCATCTCCTTCGCTGATCCCTACGTATTTTTA